TAGTGTGGAATCAGGTGGCTGCCTGTCTGCAGCGGGGTGATTCAGTGTCTTCCGCGTGACTCAGGACCTCAGTAGGGTGTGGGCAGACCTGCCTGTCTGCAACAGGGTGACTTGGTGTCTTCTGCGTGACTCAGGACCTCGGTAGGGCGTGCACAGACCTGCCTGTCTGCAGCGGGCTGATTCAGCATGTTCTGTGTGACTCAGGACCTCGGTAGGGCATGGGCAGACCTGCCTGTCTGCAGTGGGCTGATTCGGCGTGTGTTCCGTGCGACTCACGTCTTTTCAATTATATCCATAAAGGTCTTTTTTTTTTTTAAAAAACCCCATTTATTTATTTGTTTGTACTGGGGATGCAAAGCAGGACCGTGTGCTTGCAAGACAGTTGTGGTGCCACTGAGCTAAATCCCCCAGTCATGAAGGTCTTTTATGTGTTATCCTTTTGTTGGATGTATCAGTGGTCCCTTACAGCCTATGTTGCAGAAATTATACATACATACATATATGTGTGTGTGTGTGTATATGTATATATAAAATTTTTGTTTGTTTTTTGAGTCTCACTATATAGTTTAGGTGGCCTTGAATTCATTAGCCCAGGCTGGCCTCAAACTCATAGCAATCCTCCTGTCTCAGCCACTTGAGTGCTGGGATTACAGGTGTGTGCCACTATGCCCAGCTAGAACTCTTTTATATATTTTACTCAATGGTGGCTGGTATACAGGGGACCATTAAGTACATATCAGTTTGGTTGTGTGCTGGTCACCACTCTCCATAATGCTGCCTAATGTCACTCCCTGTTCAGAGCTCTACCTGGTCTAGTCCATTCCAGGCTCTTCAGATCCCTAACTCTGCCTTAGGGGGCTGGTCTTTGTCCATGCAGCCTGTTCCCTGCCCCCCACCCCCATTCCAGTGAGTGCTGCCTCTCCAGCTCTTTTGGTAGGATTCACCAGTGGCCACCTCCTCACAGATGAGGAAACAAGGCTGAGAAGGGAGCTCCATAGACCAGCCCACTAGATGGGTTACAAGGGATGATGAGAGCCCTGGCTCCCTGCCCTACCCCATGGTCTCATTTGGAAGCACTGGCAGTGGAGGATGACCCAATGGGCAGACCACCAGCTCCTCTTGCTGGCTCTTAGTTGTGGGGCAACAGCAGCAGCCCAGGTCACAATTGTCAAGCAGTGTGGAACTTACCAGGGCACATCTCCCCTCCTTGTAGTAGTCATTTTCCTCATTGCTAAAACACACTACCCAACACCCACAACTCAAGGGAAGAGAGGTGGTTTATTTTGACTCAGCTTCAGAGGTGTGGGGGTGTTGGTCAGAGATATGTATGAGATGGATATGCAGAGACAAGGGACTCTTGAACCACATATCCAAAACCTCCCGGAATACATGGTTAGAGATTAAAAGTTTACAGGGCCACAAGTCCACGTAGGATCAAAATATACTGCCTTAAGGAATGAGTGCTCTTGCCCTCTCTTCCCCATACTCTGACTTGTGACTTAGATTGGCCCTAAGGTCAATCATGTAACAGACCACCTTGTCCTTCTCCTGTCCCCTATATGTCCTATACAGACATTCTTTTGTCCTTTATCCATGCTTTCTGATTCTATCAATAAAAAGTCACAGCCAGACGTGGTGGCTCAGGCCTGTAATCCCAGCACTTGGGAAGCTGAGGCAGGAGGATTGCCATGAGTTTGAGGCCAGCCTGGGGTACATAGTGAGTTCAGGGCCAGCCTGAACTACAAAGGGAGACCCTGCCTCAAAAAAAAAAAACAAACAAAAAAAACACAGAAGCTTCAATTTGGGGCTGTCTTTATTAGACTCTCACACTGAGAGGGTCTCAGTTAAGGGCAGTCCCTCTGGGCCTTCTTAAGAGTTTGAATTGGACATTGACTCCTAGTAATCTCATCCATTGTGCTGTGGCAGGGTTGTGAACTGTGACACAGAAGTCTCAGTCTATACATGGTTGAAAAAGAACCCAGTATAGTAGAAGAGTCCGCCAATAGAAAGCTACTTATGTCATGGCAGCCAGGAAGCAGGGAGAGAAGTGGGGAGCCAGGGAGAGAGATACACCCTTCCAGGTCACACCCCATTAACCCCCCTCTTTTGGTCAGGCTCCACTTCCCAATAGGATACTTAGCGACTGAACTCACTGGTGGATGAATTTACCCAGAAGTACAGTACCCCATGATCCAGCCATCTTTGGAAGGACATTCTAGATCTAAACCATAACACTCATGGAGAGCTGTGGGTGCCTTGGCCCTATCCTAGACAGCCACAGGAACTGAGAGACAGGAGGGGGCTTCTGGAGGTCTCCAGGTGGCTAAAGCACTGCCCTTCTGAGGGGAGGCAGGTGGGGTGTAGTCATCATGGTGGCCCTTGGCAGAGCTGTGACCCTTCCCCGAGGTTAGTGTTACATGGTGCTCACTCAGCCTTCCTGGGCAGCCTTCCTTGGATAGACCTAACAGAACAAAGCCCCACAGTCCTTCCCCCACGTTGCCTCAGGGACTGTCACCTGTTTCCTTTGTTAGTCCCCCTTCATCCAGCCACAGACAGACTCAGGGACAAGGCAGTAGAAAACTCCAAAGCCAAGTTTTTTTTTTTTTATTAGGGGTCAAAAGCTGCTTGCTCACAAAGAGTGTTGGGAAGAGGTCCATTCCATAGTTCTGAGAGGAGGCTCCATGGGGACCCCCAACCTGCCCTTCTGGAGTGGGCATCATAAGGCATTTCACACGTTGGTGTTTTCACTTTTTTTTTTTTTTTTTTAATATAAAAACCAGTCCTGGAGTAGAAAGAAAAACCCCACAATGAACTTTCAGGACCAAACTGAAGTAGGAAAAGTTAGAGAAGGGATTTCTGAGGGCTGGGACTGGCCACAGTGGTCCAATCCCCTTAAGATTGGCAGAAGCCATCAGAAGGAGTATGAGAGGGCAGGGCACAGCTTATGGGAGGCCAAACTCAGACAGGTGTGCCCTGTCTTCATCATTTTTCACTTTTACATACTATAGAAATTTAAGCAAAATAGCTATTATATATTTATATATCATATATATATATTAGGCAAATAAAGAGTTCAGGGGGTGCTGAGATGGGCACCCCTGGAGCCACCTGAGGATGAGGTGGGATGCTGGGTCAGTGGTGCCCAGGTCACCAGCCCAGGTTGTGCAGAGGGTTTGTTATTGCTGATTTGGGGCCTGGTTCTCAGGGCAGGGAGCACCGGTGGGCCCTCCTTTTCAGCCCTTCTTGGCCTCTTTGGGGCTAGGTGCTGCCTCAGCATGGCCAAGGTAGGCAAGGGGCTACTGCCCTCAATCTGCATGGGGACACTCAGAAGTCCCCCATCCCAGTCATGGGTTGTCACTCCCAAGACCATTTGTGCTCGGCTGGTCCAGGGCAGCCCCCTTCTGCTCCGTCTCTGTGGGCCCTAGGCTCCAGGTGGATGGGTAGCTCAGATAGAAAGAGGGCTCTGCCATGTTGAGCTACAAAACGCTCCCAATTCAAAGGGTTCTGGCTTCCTGATGTCTTTAAAAGGGAATCTTGCCAGGACAATTTTATGGCAAGAAAGTACACTTAGAAAGCTATCTGCTAAATACTATACTAAAAATCATGGCTGGAAAGAAATGGAGATTCTCTTTTCTAAAAAAGTCAAAAGAGGCTCCCAAGGAGGGGCCAGTTCCTCCCTGGGTTGGGGCTGGTGCCCTGGGCAGCTGATGGCCTGGGCCAGCCAGCCTGAGTTATGTTAAGTGGGTGCTGGGGTGCCCATGGGGCCCAAGTCCATGGTGAAGGGGGCACAGGTGACCCGGTGCACCTGGGAGATGGAGAGAACCCGGGTCAACCCTTCCCCCTTCTAAGGTAGGAGCTCCCCAAACTTTTTTTTTGGGGGGGGGATTCACTATTGAATTGAGTGCATAAAGGAAAAGGTGGACCCGGCTGTGCAGGCATCAGTATTTGCTGCAGGGGTGGCACTCAGAAGATGTTGGGGCACATATGCCAGTCCTGCTTCTCCTTGGCCTCCCAGTAGCCACCCTTGTACACGTAGGCCGTCTCTCTGGTGAGCGGGTCCAGTCTCTTCTCGAACCACAGTGGAACATACCCATCTGCCTCCTTCTCTGCTGGGCACGGGCCGAGGTGGGTAAACCCCTCTCCTGGGTGCCCCCTTGTTCCCCTGGGTAACCCCATCTGCCCCTGGGTCCCCTCCTCGCCCGGCCTCACCTTCCTCCGCGCCGCAACTGCGGCCAGGGGCGCAGATCTCCAGTCGCCGGCGCCGCGACAGACGCTGCTTCTCCTCCAGCCGCTGCTTCTCGGTGTTGGCCTGGTCCCAGCGTCCCTCCTCCATCAGCCGCTGGTCGGGCCGCAGGCGGCTATCAGTGGGCGCCACGCCGCCCTCGAGCTCGTTGAGGGTCAGCGCCAGCTCGGAGAAGTAGTACATGTTCTCTGCGTTCTCCCTGTGGCGGCATGGTCGGGAAGATGCTGTCCCCGCAGCGCCGCCCATGCCTGCCCGGCCCATCTGCTCTGGGACCCCACTCCTGGCCCTCCCACTTCCCGCATCTGGGGCTCCCTTTGGCTTTGGCCGACCTTTCCCTGGTCCTGTGTCCATCCATGATGAACTGACCCTGCAAAAACCCACCAGCTGTGTCCAACTTACCCATTATGCCTTGTGCTGCCCCTTAACACAGCTCTCTGAACCCCATCTGCTTTGTTAGTAGAGACTTCTTAGGAATTTGTCCTTTTCATCTATTTTTTTTTTTTTCTTGGTACTGGGGATGGAACCCAGGACCTTATCACTTGCAAGGCAGGAGCAGTGCCACTGAGCTAAGTCCCTGGCCCTCATCTAATTTTTCTAATTTGTCCGCATTACGTTTGTCATATCTTCATTGCTTCTGCTTTGATAATGTCTGTAACTTAGCAATGTACCTTTGCGTGTAGTATGTGTCTTCAATTTTGAACATCCACGTCAGAGGTTTGACTTTATTGGTTGAAAATAAAACTTTATTGATTCTATTTTACAGTTTTCTGCCTTATAGATCTTGTTATATTCTTCCCATTATGTTATCATTTTGTATTTTCCCCCTAACTTCTGGAGATAGATGCTTAGCCCATATTTCTCTTTTCTAATATGATGTACATTTTAAGGCAATATCTTTCACTCCAAGTACTGCTTTTAGCTGAATCCCACCATTTTTGATATATTTTTTGATTCCTGTATCATCTTTTGATATATGACTTATCTGGAAACATATTTCTTAAATTTATAAAGGTAGATTTTTCTAGAAATTTTTTTCTAGCATAGTTGCTGTGGAGTCAGATAACACATTTGATAAGATACTTGATATCATTTTAGTATTCTGCAGTTTGCCGTATGGCCCAGTATATGGTCAATTTTGGCAGATAGCCCACATGTAAGAGAATGTGCTTGGTCAGTTATGGGGTGTAGTAATTCTATAATGGCTAGTAGGTCCTCTTGTTCAGATTTATCCTCCAGAGTGTTTTTTTTTATCCATAACTAAAAAATGTACATTAAACTTTCCTACTTTGGTTGTAAATTGGTCTGTTTCTCTTTATATTTCTATGAGCCCATGCTGTATGTATTTTAAGGGTTTGTCATTCTGTACAAAGTATATTCAAATTTAAAACTCATCTTGGTGAACTGAGCTTTCATCGTTATGAATTTTCCCTCTTATCTCTAGTATTGCTTTTTGTTGTAGAGTTTGCTTTGTGATATGAACACAGCTACGGCAGCTTTTGTTTGGGTAGTATTTCTATGGGGATATCTTTTTTATCCCAGTATTTATTTTCTTACTTAGATGTATCTCTTGCAGACTATATATGTTACATAAAAAATTTGTCTGGGCCACTGTGTTGGGCCCACATGCAGGGTATACTTCTTTTTCTACTTGTACTTGGCCCAAACTTGCTATGAAGTCTGTTTCTTTTCGTACCTTTCATAAAACTTTGGTACCATTACAAAATTTTTCTGAATCTTACACTTATAATGGGAGCAATATTGTATTATAGGTTGAGTATCCATTATCCAAAATGTATGGGACCAGAAGTACTTGTAGTTTTTAAAATTTCATAATACTTGTGCAGTGACATATCTTGGGAATGGGACCCAAATCTAAACACAAAATCCATTTATGTTTCAGTTTAAATACAATATTTTGATTGTATATGCATTACTGACTGTGACTTGTCACAGGTCAGGTGTGGAATTTTCCACTTACAGTGTCATGTTGATGCTCAAGCTTTTGGATTTTGGAGCATTTCAGATTTTTCAGATAAGAGATTCTCAAGTTGTACTGATATACTGGATTTAGATCTACTGTCTTGTTTTTTCCTTTTGTTCTGTCCTATCTTTTCTTTGGCCTGCAAGCACACATTTCTTCTATACTACAAGTAGAACTGCTAGGTTATAGTGTATGTGATAGTTCACCTTCAGGAAGTAAGACCAGCATTGAGGGTGTAGCTCAATAGTAGTGCATTTGCCTAGCAGCAACGAGTCCCAAGGTTCAATTTCCAGTATCCAAAAAAGAGGAAGTATCTAAAGTGGCTGCACCAAATTATACTCCCTCTAGCAGTATTGAAAGAGATACTGAGGATCCAAATCTTTAACCCTTGATATTGTCAGCCTTAGTCATTTTTTGCTAATTAAATGAAAGTAAAGTGGTATTTCATTGTGGTAGTTTTGATTAGCATTTACCTGATTACCGATGATTTGACAATGGTTTTCATGTGTTGACTAGCCATATACAGTATATTTCACTTCCTGGCTCCAGTGCAGATCCCTCAGCCTGGTGGCACAGACCCTTCACCCCGCCGGCGCAGACTTTCTAGCTTCCACCACTGGCCTTTGGGCCTTCCCAGTGCAGATCCTCCATACGGACTTGCATGAGACAGTGCCGTGGGCTCTAGGCCTGGACTTGTGGAGGACTTTGCCTTGGTCTCTAGGTCTTCAGCTGGACTTGTGTGGGACATTGCTGTGGGATCCAGAACCTCGGCTGGATTCTTTGGTCTCTAGCGCGTGGACAGATCTCTCACCCTCCTCTGCATTTGACTTTTTTTAGTGAATATTATAAAATAATCCTATAAATTATGTGTCCTGTATTAAATCTATTCCCTTGTAAATCTTGAGTACAACGATCACTTTCTTTCTTTCTTTTTTTTTTTTTGGTACTGGGGATCGAACTTGGGACCATGCGCTTGTGAGGCAGGTGGCAGTACCACTGAGCTAAATCCCCAGCCCAACAATCACTTTCTTTAAATTGCTTTTTAATTTTTTTTTGAGACATGCCCAGGCTGGCCTTGAACTTTCAGTAATCCTCCTGCCTCAGCCTCTCGAGTGCTGTGTACACCACCATCCCCAACTAAATTGCCTTTTAATAAGCAAAATTTCTCTCTTTTTGTAGTTCTGAGGATGGAACCTAGGGCCTTAAGCTGGGGAAGTATTCTACTTCCTCAGCCCATTTTTAAATTTTTGAGACAAGGTCTAAGTTGCCTAAACTGGCCTTGAATTTGGCAATTTTCCTGCCTCAGCTGGGGTTACAGGCATGCACCGTCATACCCAGCTACAATATTTCTTTTAATGAACAGAAGTTCATATTCTTTTTTTTTTGGTACTGGGGATCGAACTCGGGTCCTTGTGCTTGCGGGGCAGGTGGCGGAACCACTGAGCTAAATCCCTGGCCCCTCATATACTTATTAAATGTTTTGATATACTTAAATACATCAATGCTTTTCTATGTCTTGTTTAAAATGTAATTTCTTAAGGTCTAAACTCATCTATATTTTTTAAACTTAAAGTATTAACTTTATTGTTTAACAATAAGACAATATTAATTGTAAGGCCTCTATCTGGAATTGATTTTTGTTTTAAGGGAGGGATTCAGTTTATCTTTTTCTATTTTATTGTCACCTTAGTCATATATCAAGGATACATAGAGCCATGGGACTGTTTATAGGCTCACTATCCCATTCCATCTTAATTTCAAAATAAGTCCTCATATCTAGTAAGGTAATTCCTATTTTTTCCCAGAAATCCTTTATTCAGCAGTATAAATTTTAAAATTCTAATACCAAGTTCCATGAAAATTCCTATTGGGATTTTGTTCAATCTGCTGACTCTTCAAATCATGACATCTTTACAATACTGTCTTTCAATCCATGAACAATTTAACTTCTCCATTTATTTAGCACTTCCTTTGATAGCTCTTAGTAAATTTTGATAATTTTTTCTCTGGAGATCTTGAATATAAGGATTATTACAAAGTCTTTGATATTTCTGATGTAATTGGTATCTTGTAAATTGCATTTTCTAGTTGTTTGCTGTTAGTTTATGGAACTGTGATTGACTTTTGCATATTAATCATGTATAGGCACCTAAAATGCTTTTTCTAAATGTATTGATGACTATTAATATAATTTATGAATTTTCCAATAAAAATATTCTTGAAGACTCTAGGTAAATTAATATTACAGATTTTTATCTTTTTTTTTTTTTGGTGCCGGAGATCGAACTCGGGTCCTTGCGCTTGCGCAGCAGGCAGCGAAACCACTGAGCTAAATCCCCGGCCCAAGATTTTTATCTTTTTAATACACTGTTGGATTGGATTTTCTGATATCTTGTTTTGTAATTTTGCTTATATAAGTGAAATGGAGTTAAAAATTTTATTTTCCTGTTACTGTCTTAGCTGGTGTATGAAGGTTCTTCTGGCCTCACAATGTAGGATAAAAGAGCACTTCCTCTCTTTTTGTGGTTTGGAAGACTGTATATAATATTGGTTAACATTTCTTGAGAATTTTATGAATTCACCTGAAAAGTTATCTGGGCCTTGTCCTTGGGGTAATTTAAAACTACTACTTTAGTTTCTTTATTATAGGAGTATTTGGGAATTTTATTTTTCTAGAATCAGTTCTTATAAGTAATGTTTTTCTAAGAATTTGTTCTTCCCGAGTTTTAATTATCTCTTTTAAATATATGTCTTTATACTTTACATATCCTATGAAACTTGATTGATTGATTGACTGGAATACTAGGGATGGAATCCAGGGGCATGCTATTACTGAACTACATTCCCAGCCCTTTTAAACATTTTTTATTTTGAGACAGGGTCTCACTAAGTCACTAAGTTCTCCAGGCTGGCCCTGAATTTGCAGTCCCCCTGCCTCAGCTTCCAGGAGTGCTGAGATTACAAGAATAATACATATTACTATCTTGATCAGTCTTACTAGTAGTTTTCTCTACTGTCCAGTTGTTTTGTTCCTCAAAGGGTCAATTTCAAACTTTATCAAACTTTGTTATATTTTTTCTCTATTCTATTAATTTCTGTCTTTTTAAAGGTATATATTTTTTCTTCTTTTGGGTGTATATGTTGAACTTTCTCTAACGTTAAGGATGGAAACTCAGAAAAGAAAAAGCCTCAAAAGTATAAAGTAGCCGGGGATTTAGGTCAGTGGTTTTGCTGCCTGCTGTGCAAGCACAAGGACCCGAGTTCGATCACTGGTACCAAAAAAAAAAAAAAAAAGTATAAAGTATTTAAAGTATAAAGTATTTAAAGCAATACAGTACATTTCACTTGAGGGATTGCCCATCACATCCATTCAGTTTTGGTGTCTTTGATGCCATTCAGTTCTAGGTATTAAAAAATTTCCATTCTGATTTCTCATTTTACTGAGGAGTTATTTAGGAACTTAGTTTTTTTCCCTAAATATGTGGAGTGTTTTTGTAATTTTGCTCTAATTTAAAGGTCTTATAAGTCGTACTCTGTAAGCTACCCTCTGTAAATTTGTTGAGGCTGTTTATTGCTTAATACATGATTGATTTTTTTCAAACATTCCATGTGTAATTGAAAAAAAGTGTATTCTGTGGCTGCTGCATCCACATATCTATGTATAGCTTGTGTTGTTTCAATCTTCTTCATATCCTCCCTGTTTTTTTTAATTTGTCTTATCAACAAATGAGAGGGGTATATTGAAATCTCTGTTTCCCATGATGATGACAGACTTACTATTTCTTCCTTAGGTATCAATATGTGCTTTCTATATTTGAGGTTATTTTATTACATGTCTATTGTGAAACTTAAGAGTTTCTTGATGAACTTAACCTTTCATTATGTAGCAACTTTTCTTTCCTTGCTTTCCTCCCCAAGTCTATTTTACCTGTTATTAATATAACTACTGCAGCTTTTTGGGTTCAGTTTTCATGAAATGTCTCTTTTACTTTCAATCTTTGCACATCTTTGTTTTGTGTATCTCTTAGAAGGAGCATGTATCTGGATTTTAACAAATCCAGTCACACAAATCCAGTCAGTATTTTGCTTTTGCCCATTTTCATTGATATGCTTGAACCTGTTTATATGTTATATTTGTCCTACTTTTTCATTTAATCTTCTCTTACTGTTTTAAGAAACATACATATGTCTCTTCCTTCTAATAAAAACTTAGCATTTCTCCACATCCCTGGTACCCTTTTTTCCCCAAAATCCCATCATGTTAACATTATCTAGAGTTTTAACTCTGCATTATTATGGGCATATTTTCTTTTTATTCTTCCCAGTAATTGTTTAAAGACTAAATTTTACTTCATGTATCTATTGCAACATCTTCTGGATTTTTTCCCTGTCCTTTTAAGATTGCTGTGTCTTATACTGTTTCACTGTGTTTTTTTGTGTTGCAAACCTAAGACTGTATACCTACGGAATTTTCTTATCATGATCTCATATTTTTTTATGAGTATATGTTTGAGATACATAATAGTTACATTCATTTTGGTGAATTCATACATATGTGTATAATTATATATAGAATTTCTTGATCATTTCCAATCTCTTTACCCCATGGCCTCATATCTGAATGATAACTTGACTGGAGAGAAAATTCTACCTTCTAATTTCATTTTCTTCATAGTTTGAAAATATTACTCGAGTCCTAGTTGTTGAAATATCTGATGCCAGTCTGATTCTTCACCTTTGACTGAAATCTTTCACTTCTGTCTGGAAGCTATTAGAATTTATTCTTTGATAGTCTTAATTTGACTATAGCATGGTCTAGGTGAATGTTTTTCTTTATATATTTCTTTATACTATATAGACCCTTTTAAGCTAAGGCCCTTTTATCTCTTTTATTTTGGGAAAATATTTGCATTATTTCTTTAACTATTTTCCCTCTGTGCTATGTTTACCTACTTCTTTCCTTTCCTTCTGGGATTCTAGTTAAATGTATTATTTAATGGTTACTCTAGGAATTACAATATCCATACTTCCTACAGTCAAAAGTTAATGCATTCACACATGCAAGGGCTTGAACCCAGGGCCTCATGCATGCTAAACACATGCTCTACCACTGAGTTACATCCCTAGCCCCTTAAAGCAAGTCTTGACCCTTCTTCCTAGTTGGCATGGTTTCCCTCCATTTATTCCTCTTCTGACTTACATAGTGGGGTGGTTGTATTCTCAAATTTTGAACCCTAGGTGACATTATTATTCTTTATTATTCAGGGTTCATTTAAATTCATACAGTTTTTATTCTTCACTCATTAATACATCTCATATCTTTCACCTAGGATCAGTTCCTTCCTGCCTGAGCTATAGCCTTTAGCTACAGGTTTGTTGATAGCCAACTAAGTTTTTATTTGCCTGAAAAGGTCTGTATTTCAACTTCAGTTTTTAAAGATGGTCACTCCAGGTGTAAAATTCAAGGCGAGGCTGGCAGAAAATTTTTAGCACATGGAAGATTTCATTTACCTGTCTTCAACCTCCCATTATTGCTGATGAGAGGACAGCTGTCACGGTGCTGTTTCTCAGCAAGTAATGTCTTTTAGCAATCTCCCTGCTTCGTATTCTGATTCACTTTCAACAGTCTCACTACATAGATTCAGGTATAGCAGTGTCCTCTGTTTTCTCTTCAGAAGCAGTCTCTGTTTCCTCATAGGGCTCTAACCAGAAGTGCACTGGATGCTGTTCAGGTGCCCTACGGACCTTATAGAATTGCAGGTTCCCATTCAAGAGGTTTGACAGTTCTGCACACTAACAAGATCCCAAGGGATGCAGCAAGTGTAGGAACTTTGCTTGGCTTCTCACTCTAGCTCTTGTATTTTCCAGGTTTTGTCTCTTTTATGCTATAGTGTGATCATTTCTTCTGACCTGTATTCAGGTAACACATTCTCTCTTTAAATCTTTTCAAAGAGTTCTCAATTGATTATTTTTCCTTTGCAGAATTTCTATTATGTTCTCTTTGGAATCTGCTGTGCTACTTTTTATAGTATTGTTTCTAACAAGTTATTATCAAGGTTTAAAAATAATTTCTTGTAGCCATGCTGGGAAGGATTCTATCCTATCACCTGTTTAAAGTCTCTGCATAGTGTTCGCTGCCACATGATAGATTCAAATTCATTTGCAGCTGGGTGTCTGGCTTCCACTCTGGGATGTCAGTCACATCATTTTCTGCCCCTATGTGAACTAAGCCCTTCTGACCACCTGTGGTTTCTTCCAGGTAGGGTGGTGTCTTCTGGCTCTCTACTTCTCCCTGGCCTCCTTTCTCTGTCTCTCTATTGGCCCTGTTTCCCACAGAGGGTCCCCAGTCCCTACTTACGGCAGTGGGTACTTCCTCCATAGCAGCTTGGCTGGTAGGGTCTGGTACACTGTCTTCTGCTTCCCATCAGAGCCAGGGCTGCTGGGGCTACTCTGCACGATCTTGGAGCATTCCATCTGCTCATTCCATGAGCCTGACAGCACATAGTGGGCCTTTCCTTGGCTGTCACTCACCACTCCAGTCACCTGTGAACATCGGCAGGGCTGAAATAAGCACACAGCCCTCTGTGCCTTCTGGGATTCTGGGAGGTGGCCCTGCTTACCTTTCGGGCTGCCTCTTTGGAGAAGTAGCTGTAGGGTACAAACTTAAGCTGGCATCGGTCATTGGTCTTATGGTTCACAATCTCAATGTCCCCTGACTGGTGAGAGAAGGTAGTGGTCAGCGGCCAATCCCTGGGCCATACATACCCCTCCTAGGGTATCCAGCCCTGACCTGGTCAATCCAGAGCTTGCCCACGATGATGTTGTGCACAGTTGAGGTGCTCTTCCTCCATACATAGTGATTTCCACTGGCCTGGAATTCTAAGTGGATGGCACCTGGAGGCCGAGTACAGGTCAGAAGTCATGGTGCCCTCATGTAGGGCTCCGGCCAGTTCACCCACAGGCCCAGGGTCTTAAGAACCAGTGGAATATCCATGCATGTTAAGGGCATACGGTATAAGCCAGGACTGCAGGCATTGTGTGTGTTGGTGGGAGCAGACTTGCAAGGAAGTCTCCTCTGGGAGCCCCAAGCCAGCTTTTGGGTTGGCAGAATTTGCCCCCTGAAGCAGAATGTCTTTCTGTCCCAGGAGCACCCAGAACCCCAGCTTACCGAGTGGCATGATGGAGATATACTTTCCCCGGAACTTGCTGGCGATGGTGATCTCCTGCCAGAGGCTCCAGCCATGCTTAGAACATGCATAGTGGGCAGCTGATGGGGGGTGGTGGCTCACCTGGGATCAGACGGCGGACATGAGGATTGCTGGTCATGGGCCCACACCACCTTCCTGGCCAGGGAGGGAGAGTCTACCCTGTTCCCAGGATGCAAAGTGCCATTTGGGGCTGGGGATTTAGCTCAGTGGTTCCACCACCTGCCTTGCAAGCACAAGGTCCCAAGTTCAATCCCCGGTACCAAAAAAAAAAAAAAAAAAAAGGGCCATGGCCATGGGATCTGGTCTACCTACTCTTTTAGGTAGTGTAAGACTAGGTCCCCCAGAGAAATGGTGTCTTGAGCAGAAAAGCAGCCTGTTATGGCTGTCCTGGGCCTAACCCAGCCCATGCGAGTATGAAATGGGCCTAGTGTGCCCAGGCCTGTTTCTTGGGCTGGAAAACATGCATGATGGTGGGCTTCCACGACAGGCCCAGGACAATCTGACCCAAGGGCTTCCATGCTCATTTTCTCATTTAATCCTCACCACACACCAAGACACATGTCCGTCATGCAAGGATACACTGAGGAAGGGCACCCAGACCAGTAAAGCCATTTTAATGGAGGGGCAGAGTCCAGCCTGACTCCTGAGTGGAAGTCATGTCAATGTCCTGTCTCAGGCTTTGTCTGTTCCCCACAATGGATCTCCCAGAACCCCCAACTTTCCTCTTACAGTGCTGGGCATCCCAACTACTGCCTCACCTTCAGAATCCCTGCTACCTGGCCCTCTCCCATCTATTGGCAGCACCACTAAGTCTCCATTTTCTTCCTCATTCCACAGCTGCTAGGCTCTGCCTTGTCCAGCCTCATCCCTCCCTAGTTCATGTCATGGTCTTTCCTGTGCCAGCTGCCTTATGTCTACTAGAGCCACCCCCATCGGGAAATGCAGGGACATGTCCCCAAGGGGAGGGACCCAGAGCACTGCATCATCCCTACCTGTCTCAGGCCCATGCTGTCTTTCCAGCTGCCCACACCAAATACTTTGGAATTTTCCCAGCCCCTCCTTGTCATGTTCTCCATCAAATCCTTAACAAATCTTGTCTCTTCTTCCTTAAGTGTACCTAGCATCTGTGCCTTCTCCACTGCCCCCTGCACCTCCCCTGGGGAGCACTCTCCCCATTGCAGCCACTTCCCATCCAGTCAGCCAGGGTCATCTGGCTGCCCAGCTGCTTCCCCTCCACCCTTATCTCCTCCTTTTCCACCACACTCCTTGTGTCAGTCAGGCCCCTCCCTGGCCACCACCTTTCTAAAGAGCCAGAAGTATCTGATATACAGTAGCTGCCTGTGCACCCCTAAACCCCATGGGAACAGGAGCCACATCTGTCTACTCTCCATCTTACCTCAGCACCCCATCAGCACCTGGCATGTTCAGGGCATTAGTGTTTGCTGAATGAAGAAATGCATAAACTCAAGGGTTCAGGCCAAGGACCATAGGGTTACCCTTGTCTGCCCTTTCACATCCAAAATGTTAGCAAACCTGCTGGCTTCACCTTCAAAACCTGGCCCTGTGCAATCATTACAATCACCTCCTAATGGATCCTCATGTCAGCCATAGCATTCCTTCCAAACTAGCAATAAGATCAGCAAACTGTTGGCTTTCTGGCTAACCTCAGGAAGTAGAGCATCACCAGCACCAACAGAATTGCCTGTTCTATAATAAGAACACTCAGGCTCAGTGTCAGATGATGATGCGACTCCCAGCCTGGGTCCTGGCTCATCCCCATGGGGACGGGGTAGAGGTGAGGGCACTAGTCACACCAGCATTCATCCCAGTATGCACAGCTCGCCCAGGCTCCTCCTATCTGCCAACTTTTATCTCAGTGGTGACCTTACTTTCTGGCCTGCCTGGACTCCCAACTGCACCCACAGACATCCCTCCTCCCCTACCCATCGTTCCCTGGCTGGGAGGTGGGTTTTCCCCTTCTTTGATATCAGACCCATCTCTGTCCTACCAAGCTCTCCTCTCATGCTTCTCTCTCTCTGGGAAGCCTGCCAGGAGCTGGCTGGGAAGAGTATGAGTGGCCACTGCCCACTGCCAGGCTGGTGGGCCTCACCTGCTCACAGAGGGAGCGCAGGCCCATGTCCTCCAGGCGGTCCAGCTCAAAGGTCTCCCCCAACATGGGGTTGAAGGGCTTGGCGATGCGGTGCACAGTGGTAGAGTAGGAGGATACAGAGAAGGCAGCCACCAGGCACATCTGCTCCACAGAGCTGGAGCAGTGCACCGCCTTGTCCAGCAGGTGGTGGTACTCCAGGTCCTCAGTCAGCCGCTGGAGCATGGACAGGGGCTCGTTGAAGTTCACCTGTGAGTGGAAGGGAAACAGGTCAGGCCAGGACCCAGTCCCTAGATCATCACAGCACCTCTGCTGTTCTGAGACATTCGGGGAAATCCCCGCTCTGATGACACCCACATAGTGAGGTCCATCTGTCAACCTGGCTGTGCAGCACCTCAACCCCACCCGACACCTCTCTAGGCCCTCTGCCTCGGTTTCCTGTGCAGCATGGAATGCTTTCTGGCATGCTCTACCATATACTTTCATGATGTTTACCGTCACTCCACTAGGATTAAACTCCACAAAGCCCAGGGTGTCTGACTTCCCACTGCTGTACAGTCAATGCTGACTCAACAGAATCAGAGTGAATAAGCAAATCCATGGTCAGAGGCAGTGGGTCTTCCTCATATTCTGTGTTGTTTTCTAAGTTTTCTGTCAAGGGCTCTTGTGGAGGGGCCTGTGAGGACAGGTGTGGCTCAGGGGCCCCCTGCCAGCCTCAGGCAAGGCAAGTTATCACATTCCCAGTGTGATGCAGTCTTCCGTCATTAGCTCACTCCATCTTCCCAGACACTGACAGGGGTGCAGTGATTCCATTTTGCAGATTGTACACAGAGCCAGAGATGGGAAGAGACTCATGGGTCACAGAATAAAACTAACAGGCCTAGAGTCCCCAAGCTCTTCCTTGATGGAGGGGCCTTTGCAGTGTGGTAAACAAGGGTCCCAGTTCTGCTGGTAGACTGCTATGTGACCTTGCTAAGCCTCCATTTCCTGGGAGGGCCATCCTGAACACTAAGCCCACGTCTGCAGCTCTCCATTTACTAAGTGGAGACAGCTGAGACATTGTGAGGCCCTAGAGTGTTCCAGATATGCCTTGTATGAAACCATGAAAGGTGCTAACAGCCAGCTGCTGCTGTTTCCCACATTTTAGTATGCACAGAGCTCTCTCCTGGCTCCTTCCCTCAGAGTCTAAAGACCCTTGCTCTTAGAAGAACTGGCTGATGAACACAATCACATAGTTACATTCTCTTCAGGTGCCATTAAGAAAATGACACCCTAGGGCTGTATAGATGTCATAGCCCAGAGGGCCGCTATGGCCACCATGCCTAGGGCTACCTACTGGCATGGGGATCCTGGAGAGCTCACGACCAATGCAGTTCTTCATGATGCTCCAAAGGTTAAGGCTGTAGTTAGGCTTGTCAGGGATGCGGACACGCCTCTTGACTTTGTATGAGCCCTTGGGCACAAGTGAGGCTCCATCTAGCACCTGTGGAGAAACAAAGCACACCTGTCAGAGGATGCCAGAGCCTCCTCTGCCCTCCAAGTCCATTCCCTGTCCTTTGACCTTCCAAGAGCTAGCATTAAGCCAGCAGCTGGCACATAGCTGATGGGAAAGGCAGGACAGCTCTGCTTGAACTGCTATAGGGGAGGCAGATCTGGGATCCAATGGTGGTCCTGAGCTTGCAGTACTAGCCTCTCCCCTCAGCCACCTGGAACCTGGCCTTGGAAGCTCTTACCTCACTCACGTTGTCTGCTGTGGTCCAGTCTCCAGTTCCACATGTGCTGGTTCCACCTTCGGCTTTTCTGCAGGAAATAAAGGGTAAGATAAGTTATGGACAGATCTTGAGACCTCCTTATTATCCTATCCCATGTCCCGTGAAGGGCAGCCCCAAGGTGTTTTCTCCAATAGGCCATCTCCAATTTGGGGCACTCAAGGTGTGGGCAAAAGGACACAGGCAGCAATCTGGAGAGGGTGCATTCACCAGTATTCCCACAGCAGGTGCTCAGCAAAGCTTCTGTCTGGAGTCCTTTCACCAAGCCCAAGAAGAGACCAGGGGCTGGGTACCTCCTCTGGGAGTGCCTCACAGAGTGCTTTGGACCTCTTCCTATCCCAGATAGATTGTACTGCATCCTTGATGTCCGCTGCTCTGACTCCCACACTAGACTGGGGCTTCTGAAGGGCAGAAGTGGTTCTGACATATCCCATATCCAATATTTTGCCATATCGGCAGAGAACACCAGGGCTGAGGGGCCAGCTGGGGCTGGAAACTGGCACTTGGCAGCCAGGGCCTCAAGGGATGAGCAGAAAGCCCCTGGGCACTGAGGAGAGCCCAGATCCTGGCGGTTCCAGGCACAGAACTGGTAGGCAGGGACTAGGGACAGCTGAGAAAGACCTTCCTGGCAGTACAGCCAAGAGAGTGATGCTTCTGGTGACTGCACTGAAAGAAGTTCAGGAAAACCAAGCCATGTTAACACTGAGAGCAATGTAAACAAGTTTAAAATGTTACTGGGAAATAGAAAATAATTCTGAAGTAGAAATACATTGCTAGACACTGTCTAAATGGTACTAGACAGCCCTTTCTCTGGAGGACACTGGACCAGGGAAGTGATAAAGCAGATCAGTCTGTGAGGCCCACAGCTCCAAGCAAAACAGGAGTAGTTGAGGATTTTCACCAGCTTGCTTATTCCCGGCCATGGTTTGACCACACCTTGTGTACAACCTGCTTGTCTGTCTCATGCTTTACCCCCTGCACACTCCTTGCAACTGCATGGGTCATACTCATGGGAATTTTCTATGGATCTGAGAGTCTGACAACATTGTCTTTATTGCTAGTAAATGTGCTAGAGACTACTGTATATTCATAGATGTATTTAGAAACATCCCTAAAGAGCAAGCTTTTATGAAAAATGCAACAAAGGGTTAGAAATAGAAAACAGATTTCCTGCATCTTTCATCTGTTTTCAAATAATGACACCATAGAGGAAGCAGTTGGGATCTGCTTTGAGGCAAGAGGAACAGCTGTGGCCTTCTGGGTCTTCCCCTAACCCCAGGCTAGAATGGCATCCAGCCAATGCCTTGCTCTGTCTCCATTTTAAATGAAAATCTTGATACAAACTTTAGGCACTTTTTGGTGTAACTAAGAATAGAATCCAAGCAAAAATCCATCTGGAACAAGACTTGAAAAAAAAACCCTTGAGTACACAGCTGGTCAAAAGAGCATAAAGGCTGGATGTTTTTATACACACCTATAATCCCAGCACTCTAGGAGACTGAGGCAGGAGAATCATGAGTTTGAGTCCAACCTTGGCAAGTTAATAACTTAGCATGACCTTGTCTCAAAAAATAAGAAAAGGGTAGAGATGTACCTCAGTGCAAAGGGTTCAATCCCTAGTCCAAAAATTTTTTTAAAACCCCCAGCAAACCAAAATCAGAGGGAGCCTGTGCCAGGCATGGTAGTGCATACCTGTAATCCCAGCACTTGGGAAGCTGAGGCAGGAGGATTGTCACAAATTTGAGGCCAGCCTGAGGTACATAGTGAGGCCCTGTCTTAAAACAACAAAACAACCCAGAGGGGGCCTAAAAACAAGGTGGGAGAGGCTGACCCTGCCAGATGCTCATTCTACGCGGCCAATGTGAGGTGTGTGGTGAGGGCCTACCTATCTTCATTAGTCTCAGTGATCACGGTGATGAAGGATGTAGAGTCTTCCATGGCATCGAAGTACTCAGTATCTTCATCTTCTTCACTGTCCTCTCCTTTGGGAGTCAAGAGGCTTCCTAGAAACACACAGACCCTCTGCTTCAATTTGCAATCTCAAAAAGGGCTCCTCCAGCTGCCTGAAGTCCAGAACCAAGGGCTCTGCTCCACCCTGACACCACTTTCCTCCCCACTGTAGTTACCTGGCCCTATTAACCTAGACTGCTTGCTCCCTTACTGGAATAATACACTTCCTTTCAGTGCATTCATTGCTCAGCTGCTGCCTTCTGGAAGCTTCTCCTAATTTCTCAACATGCTGGTCAGCCTTAAGCATATTTATGAGCGAGTATGTGGTCTGTTTTGGAGAACATCCCATGTGCAGCTGAGAAGAATGTGAATTCTGATGTTGTGGATGGAACACTATATAGACATCTACTAAGTCCATTTATTCAAAAGCTTGGTTCAGTTCTATTCCTGAACAACAAATGGGTCACAGATGAAATTGAAGAAGAAATTAGACAGTTTCTACAATTAAATGGTAATGCCAATACAACATACGGGAACTTATGGGATTCAATGAAAGCAGTCCTATGAGGGAAATTAATAGCGGTGAATACCCATATCAGAAACACAGAGTGAGGGCCGGGGATTTATCTCAGTGGCTCCACTGCCTGCCTTGCAAGCACAAGGTCCCGAGTTCAATCCCTGGTACCAAAAAAACAAAGAACAAAAAACAAACACAGAGCAAGCTCAAATTATCAACTTAATAGTAGTCAGCCTGTCTGTAGCCCGGGTTCCCTTTCTGATAGACCCCTCTCAGTTCCCCGCCTAGGGTATCTGTGACCTCCCAGCCAAGGTTAGGTAGGTGGCCATCTGGCACCTGGGCAACCCTATCATAAAGGGAACAGCTGAGTTTATTGAACTTTTGAGACTCTGTGTGTGTTTGTGTGTACGTGTATGCAGTACAGGGGATTGAGCACAGTGCTTTATGCATGCAAGGCAAGTCCTCTAAGCTATGCCCACCCTAAACTTTTGAGAATTTAAACCTAGGCATGGGGATGCTTTTGCCAGATGGTGATAGGTACCAGAAAAACAGCACCATGGAGAAAACAGTATGGAGTTGGCCAAGTCAAGCCCAAATGTAGGCATGTGAAGGTGTGTGTGTGTGGATAGGGACTGGGTTGCACAGCAGAAACTAAGTGGAGTTATCTAGGGAATGGGTGACTGTGGGTCAAATGGCAGGCCCAACCCTGCCAGCCAGCACATGCCCACTCACCCTTGCTGAAGCTCTTGCTGGGGTTGGCAGACCAGCCGGGGCCACTGTGGAAGGCCCGCTCGAGGCTGTTATGCTGCTTGGCCAACTGTTCAATGGTCTCTTCCAAATGGACACGTTGCTCCTGCTCGTACTGCAGTGCCCGCTGCCATTTCCGGCTGTGTATTTCAGCTAATTCCAGGAAGTCCCTGCAGGCCTAGGAGGGACAAGCGGCTATGTGAGCTCTGGGCAGTGAGGGAAGTCCAGGGGGATGCCATCTCGACTCCCTTCTTTTTGCTGGAATGATTAGAAACATCTTCACTGTCCCCCTGGCTTCCAAAGGGATATGTAAACACTGGCCTTCTCAGAGCCAGTTCTGAGTGGCACCTACCGTGGTCACTTTCCCCAATTTGGAGCACACCCATCCTGAGTTGTCACCACTGGACATGCTGCTGCTGACAGCAGCCCCCTAGAGCTGGAAGATACTGAGTTACTGCTCATCACAGCTGGGATTCCAGCTCTCAGCTACCATATATTTATTGTGTGCTGGGCCTGACATGTGTCACCAGTGCCCATTCCCACTGGGGAGATCAGGCCAGTCCTTGACTTTGGCACAGAAGGAAGGAAAGCCACATTAAGCTAGACTGCTTGGTTTAGAGAGTTGACAAGTCTTATATGGCAGGAGAACCGGAACTTTCCACCTAATACTTCATAATCTATATTAAGGTTCTTTTTCATGTTTGAAGCCTACCACAACATCCAGATTCTTTTCAAGTTCATAGAGCGTTCCATCACACACCTATGAAGCAAGGATTGGTCATCCTGTTCCTGTCATTACAGTAGAGAGGAAAGCACAGGCCTCAACAATTCCTGGAGAGCAGTGAAGCCCAAGCCAAGGACCTCTAGAATTTCCCTTTCCAAACATTTTCTTTAGCCCAGTAGGAAGAGCCATATTTCCTGGGTCCAAGTCTGCTTGAGGACTCTCAGCTGATGCTCTGTCTTTCCAACTCTTGCTGCACCCGATCACCCTGAGCACTCCTGGGCTCCATCCAAGTCATATGTTGTCCAACCCTGCAGGTCCACAGCATATTTTCCTGGAGGGAGATGGGCACTTGGACCCTGACTTGACACAAGGACAGTGCAGCATTATCCTAAAGTACTGTCAGGAAGAACTGGAGAGGTGATGCAGGGCACTAGAAGAGGGAATGCTGAACAGACATGCCCTCGTGGGCTGCCAGCTGTATCTGGTGTTCACATCTTTGAAGGCCAGTTCTTACCATTCCTCAGACTCCTCTTGTGTTTCACCTGGAGGAAGCCTCCAGCCTGCTGCAGTCAGGCTCACCCAGTCACCAGCCTCCATGTAATAGCACATCAGCAAGTTTGGCCAACTTCTCTGACCACTGCCTGTTTCTATTCATATTAACTGGCTTCCCGTGTGATTCCCAAAATTCAGCAGGTGTTCCAGCATGTGTGCTGGCCCCTATAAGGGTGGAAGCAGGAGTGAGCAGGAGGTGTCTTGGGGCCTCTTCGGAGGAGCAAGTTTGGACAAGCTCCTCCAAGGTGGTCAGGCTCCCTATGGTTTGCCTACTTCCCCAGGGACAGCCTGAGCCCTGGTAGGCACCTTGACTTGCTGACAACCTTTCCCCCAGTCTGGAGCTTGTTCCAGCATGCCAAACTTTTTTTTTTTTGGTACCGGGGATCGAACTCGGGTCTTTGCGCTTGCGCAGCAGGTGGCGAAACCACTGAGCTAAATCCCTGGCCCTGTCAAACTTTTAACAAGCCCCCATCCAAGCATCTTCCTCCACAATCCTACCAACACCCATGCAGGGAGGCAGGGCAGGGTGCCCCACCCCCATTCTGGAGAGGTAAGATAGGCATGCAAATGGGACATGATCTTCCCAAGAAAGCCAAAATATAATGGGAAAAGGCACATATGGACAGTCAGAAGACCTGGGTTCTGGCAAAACTACTTGGCCCATCTGAGCTCTTGTCCCTGGTGTGAGAAGGGAACAGTAATGTCTGCCATACTATATACCCACAGACTATACTGTCTCAGCTCACTCAGCAAAATCCTCAAGGTAAGAGAAATGGGATCATTCCCATTTGGTAGATGAGGAAAGTGAGGCTCCCAGGAGGAGGCGCGTTACTCCAACCTCAGGTTGAGAATCCTCCCCCACCTCCTCTATAAGGCCTGGTGCTGGTCCCCTGCCCAATCACATCTAAGCAAGGATTTGTACTGATAGATGTCCTGGCACAGGATTGGGGGTGGGTCTTCAGGCTTGGGAAGAAATCTCCTAATCTCATGCTTCTAACGGTGTCCTGAAGACAGCGGTTGAAGATTTAGGGCTATTTTGACTTTGGAAAGTATGGCTCTATAAGGCGCCCCAGCAGATGTGGAGCCTTAGTCACTGTCTACCATGCAATTTAGAGACCCTGAAGTGGGCTTCAGTGGATCCTAAGAGACCTGGCTCCTGGCCTGACTCTACTTCTGCCTGTCTTATGACCTGGGGACAAGGTCCTCATAGCCCTGAGTCCTACAGTGGCCTCCCTGTGTCATCCGGAGCCTTGTCCCGCCTTCATTACTGTAGATATCAGGGTGGGGATCCTGACACAATGACAATTTGCCCTGTGACAAGACCAGAAGGAAAACTCTTTGCTAGTTCTGGACCAGTGGGTACAAAAGGCAGTGGAGGGATCAGAATGTCCCTTTGGGTGCCACAGGGACTTTCTAGACCCTCATAGGAGCCCTGTAAGATGTATGGTTAGAAACCCCATTCCACTCCAAGATGGTGAAACTGAAGTTCCAAGATCACACAGCAAGGTGACAGCTGTAACCCAGAGCTGGTCTCTAACTTATGCTGCTATTCCCATGAGTGCTGCTCATCCCTGCTTCCCACAGCCCTAAGCTCACCCCATTCCCCCATCAAGTTAGTTATAGCTCCTGCCACTTGTCTGCTGACCAAGGAAGGGATCCCTGATACTGCTGGGCTGCTGTTCATGGGCCGTTGGTTGGCTGTGTCACTGGGATGGTCATCTGCCAAGCTGGGCTCACAGCAGGATGGACTGCACGCGAGAAATTCATCAGATTTCTGATGAGAAGCACCCTCATCTCCCTAGATAGTGTCCAGTGGGGTACTTCAAGTTTCCCTGTAACTGTGTTTGGGATAGTGCCAGGCTTGAGACTGAGGCCCAGGGAGAGAGTCTGTCCAGGTCAACAAGGGGTGAGTAGGGTGCAATCCTGGAGGATCTGATTCTGATTCCTGTTCCCTCCACACAGCTGAGCCATTCTATTCCAGGACCACACAAGGTCCTCTGGCTTGCTCCCCTCAGAGTGAGAGTAGAGGCCAGGGCCATACTTGCACAGATTCCTGTTACAGCTGGGCAGTACCAATTCTTCTCACTTTTCCAAGTTCTTACTCCTGTGTTTGTGCCCCACCTGGTGGCCTAGCAGCTGCACACAGCCCCTCATCTCTGTTCCCACCCTCCTTCTATCCTACTCATCTCATCTTCATGGCTTCTTGCCAACCCTCTACATCCCCCAGAATCATCTGTCAGTGTATTTGTATCAACATAGACACAATAGATGCATATTCTCTCTCATGTAATACATATCCTTTAAATCACGACTTCTAAAAGAGCCACATAACAGTAATAATTTCCACAAGCTCATAGCAAAGGACATCTGGGCTTCCCATGAGCAAAAGCAAGAAAAGAGCAAAGGTGAATTTAGAGCCTGTTTATAGGCTCTGAATACTTTGAAAATGACAGTTTTCTCCTCCAGGGGTGAATGGAGTGTCTTGGACAGACTTGGATGGCTGACAGTCTCATATACCTGGCCCCATCCTATCTCTTGGACTTTATTCCTCCCACACCCTCACATGTAGTACACCACGTATGGTACACCACATATGATGGCTTCCCCACTCCGTCCTCACACAGCTGGTTATTCTGATGTGGTGCCACCTCCCTCACCCTGTGCCCGCTATGGTCAGGACTATTTCAGGGATTCTCATGGTGGTGAGGTAGCCATTTTTCTAAGAAGCATGACCAAGGAGGATACATGAGTACAAGAGGCAGTGGAGGGGAAGGAGGCCAAGGGTCTTTTTCAAGGCTGTCATGAGATGTGTGCAGAGCCAGAGTCTAAGCCCCTGTGCACCCCACCTGCCTGTCTCCCAGGGCTTAGAACCAATGATACTAATTTGTTTTTTAAAGCTGGGTCTTCATTGCTGTCAGGGAACCCCCTTGACAGTAGGTATTGCGGGAACGTGTGGTCTTCCTGGGTTCCTGGGAGATTCTCACTAACAAGGATGACTGGGAATACCCTTGTTCCAGCCCTGGCCTAGGAAAAGGAGGCTGTCTCTCAATGCAGCAGGCTGCTGCTGGCTGATAATGCTGGCTATGTATGACCTCCATCTACAGCACTGTTACCACAGGGCTGACTAGCACAACAGTGAGATAGGAAGTCAAATCTCACGGACAACTGGGCCTCATGTGGGCCACATATGGCCAGGCGAGGCACATGGAGATGGTAGGCTATAACAGCCAAAAAGAGGGACAGGATGGAGGCTCTCTACCCTAATGTCGAAGGGCTCATGTGCCCTGGTCACCCTGGGAACTGCAGAAGCATGCCTGCCCGTCTACTGTGATGCACTCACCTGGTGTCCATCCCTAACTCCCAGGGTCTCCTCTGCTGCTGCTGGCCTTCTTCAGGCCCCATCCTGGCAGTGCTGTGGAGACAGGCAGGTGCCAGGCTGGCCCTGCTGCCCTGGAATGCTGAGCTGGGCAGTGCCCTGTGGGCTGTGCATTCACTAAGCTGGATTAAGCCTGGGGCTCAGCAGGGGGCCAGTGAGTGAGAGACTCCTAGGGCTGGGCGAAGGCAAAGCTGACCCAGACAAGGCCTGAACATGGTCATACTTCCTCTTAAGTTTTGTGACTATACGTGTGGCCAGAAAGCTCATACCCACCCCTCTGCACGAGATACTTGGGCTGACCCGGAGCCTCCTATCCATATCATACTCATGTCCTGATTCACTCAAGGGGAGCCAGATGAAGTCTAGCTGGTAGCCATAGCCAGGGTCAGTGTATGGACATGGCCTTCCCTGGGGGCAGGCTTGTAAACTCCTAGGACTCTGTATCCTTGTGGGATGACCCCAAGACTCCACAGCATTCATGATTCTGTGACCCACTAGCTTCATTGTCCTCAGGATTGGGATAGGG